ACGTCACCTACGTCACCCTTCCCCGCGTGCGGGCTCGTCAGCTCGGCCACTGCGTGCTCCCGCACCAGGTCAGATGCGTGCGTCCTTGCCTGCTCGCAGTGGCGGCCGGCCGTCCTTGGAGGTTGGGGTCGTGGTGGTTGGCCACCGGGCTGCGGAGGCGGGGGTACCTGGCGATGGCCCGAGAGATTGCTCCCGTGACAGCTTGTTTGAAGGGGCTTTGGGACACACAAATAAATACACACAAATAACAGGATTACCTATATTTTTCCATATTTTCTGTGTTTTTGTCTTCCCCCCCACTTCCTATATTTTCCCATATTTTCTGGGGCATCGACAATTAATTGCGTCTGTGTGTTTGTTTCCCTTCCTGATTGTTCCACCGCGCGGGAAAATGACTCACCGTCCTCACGTGCTCACGCGAATTGGTCGTCTCCTGACTCGCGCGGAGGAGGAGCGCGAGGCGGCGGATCCCATGCCTGCCATGCTCCCCTTCGCAGAGTGGCCACTTCACAGACTGGCCACTCTATTCCTATATGTTACTAGAACCACGCGCGCGCGCTTCGCGCGCGCTTAGGTTCTGTCGAGTCACAGGCCCAGGAATCGTTGTGAGAAGAAATTGGTGACGCGAAGCGTCGTGGGGGCGTCCTTGGACGTCTGGGGTCTCCTGGGGCCTCTTGAGGGGCCTCCTGGGGGCCTCCTGGCGGCCTCTTGGGGCGGAAGGCTCGAGCTTGCGGTTCGTGGTCCCCCTCTGGGCCCCCTCTTGGGCCCGTCTTGGGGCCCTCTTGGGCCATCTTGGGCGCCTCTTGGGCCGTCTTGGGGCCCTCTTGGGCTGTCCTGGGGCCCTCTTGGAAGCTTCTTGGGCCGTCTTGGGGCGGTCTTGGGCGCCTCTTGGGCCGTCCTGTAACGTCGGAAAGCCCAAAAGGCGACTTTGTGAAAATGTACGTTTTACGAAGGGAATGGGTCAATTTTTGCGTCTAGGGGCCCTCTTGGGACGCATGTTGGAGGCTTCTTGGGGCGTCTTGGGGGCGTCCTTGGACGTCTGGGGTCTCCTGGGGCCTCTTGAGGGGCCTCCTGGGGGCCTCCTGGCGGCCTCTTGGGGCGGAAGGCTCGAGCTTGCGGTTCGTGGTCCCCCTCTGGGCCCCCTCTTGGGCCCGTCTTGGGGCCCTCTTGGGCCATCTTGGGCGCCTCTTGGGCCGTCTTGGGGCCCTCTTGGGCTGTCCTGGGGCCCTCTTGGAAGCTTCTTGGGCCGTCTTGGGGCGGTCTTGGGCGCCTCTTGGGCCGTCCTGTAACGTCGGAAAGCCCAAAAGGCGACTTTGTGGAAAATGTACGTTTTACGAAGGGAATGGGTCAATTTTTGCGTCTAGGGGCCCTCTTGGGACGCATGTTGGAGGCTTCTTGGGGCGTCTTGGGGGCGTCCTTGGACGTCTGGGGTCTCCTGGGGCCTCTTGAGGGGCCTCCTGGGGGCCTCCTGGCGGCCTCTTGGGGCGGAAGGCTCGAGCTTGCGGTTCGTGGTCCCCCTCTGGGCCCCCTCTTGGGCCCGTCTTGGGGCCCTCTTGGGCCATCTTGGGCGCCTCTTGGGCCGTCTTGGGGCCCTCTTGGGCTGTCCTGGGGCCCTCTTGGAAGCTTCTTGGGCCGTCTTGGGGCGGTCTTAGGCGCCTCTTGGGCCGTCCTGTAGCGTCGGAAAGCCCAAAAGAGAACTTTGTTGAACATGTACGTTTTACGAAGGGAATGGGCCAATTTTTGCGTCGGGGCCCTCTTGGGACGCATGTTGGAGGCTTCTTGGAGCCTCTTGGGGGCGTCCTTGGACGTCTGGAGGCCATCTTCAGCATCTCGGAGCCCTCTTGGAGGCCTCTTGGAAGTTCTTGGGCCGTCTTGGGCGCTCCTGGGGCCGTCTTGTCTGACCGGGGAGGCCTCCGGCAAGCCCCGACGAGCCTCCGGGCCCCCCGGAGCCCACATTTGCGGTCGAGGTCCCGGCCCCGGGCCCCCGGACCCGGTGCGCCGTTATATGTATACAACTACTGTTTGTGAGGTCCGCCAGGAAACGCGAACCCTGAGATCGTCTTCCAGTCTGGGACCCAAACCAAAGGCTAATCAAAATGAGGCTTTCGCCTCGGGCATCCTCGTAACAGAAGTAATGGCAATTGTTGTGAGTCCCCCCCTTCGGGTTGCCCACTGGGCTTGCCTCGTGCGCCAACGTCTCAGGAGCTCGGGCGCTGTCCTTGCTTCTCGCAAGCCCCCCGGCGTATGAGTGCGCATGCCGCAAAGGCCCTCGACATGCCTGCGCCCGCAACTTCGGTCGGCACACGCCCGCAAGAATCAGATGGGGTCCATGTGGCTGGAGCCGGGAAGCCCTGAACCAAACAATGCTGTCACCTCTTGGAGGGCCACCTGTCACTTCCTTGTCACGACTCTGCGCCCAATCCCCTTCGTAAGGACGCTTTGTGCGGGGCCCAAGAAAAAGACTACCGACACGCGGCGCATGACATCAACACACAGTCGGACCTATGCCAGAAGAACGTCCCTCAAGAATATGGTAATTACCCTCCGCTGGCCAGAACAGATAAACCATCCAGGGGTACCCCCACAGGAGGCACCTGAACATCCAACAAGCACGAAGAACTCTGGGGTACTGTGCCCTCCCCGAACCGACCCCGATCCCAGGATTCCCCAATATTCTCAAAAAGGTTATCTGGACTTTCGTCTTCCCTCCCACTTCCCATATTTCCCCATGTTCTCTCGGGGATCGACGATTAGTTGTGCCTGTGATTTTCCCTCCTGACTTATACCTCGGTCCGACTGCATCTGCGTCGAGGGTTGGGCCCGACAAGAGCGCGGCGAGGCGAGGCAGTATGATATGGCCGCGACGCCACCCTCGCGCGCCCCGCCCCCCCTGCGGAGGCGGCACTCCGTGAGAGCCGCTCCAGGCCCGCTCTGGGGCCGTGGGGGCCGCCCCCTTCTCTAAATTCGCGGCTTCATAGATCGAAGGGGCCCAGGGGCACACAAACAAATAGGCACAAATCCTAGGATTCCCCAACATTTGCCCATATGTTCTGGACTTTCGTCTTCCCCCCCCCCACACTTCCCATATTTTCGCATATCTTCTTGGGGATCGATGATTAGTTGTGCCTGTGTGCTCATTCCCTCCTGATATTACATGGGGTCAGAGGACCGCGCCGCATCTCCGACGCATCGCCGATGCACGGGCGACGTCGACGATACATCGGCGACGTCGGCGTGGAGGAAATCGGGCTCCACATCGAGCTGCATCGCCGATGAGGCGTGCTGCTCGGGGGCGTCCAAGGGGGGGCGCCCAAGAGGGGGGGCGCAAATCATGGCCGGCTGCATGTGCGCGGCCCAATGGGGGGCTGGGGACGTATTGAAACAAGAGAAGGAACCATGACATCTGGAGAGATATCATGGCCCCCGCCATGCTATCCCCCCCTAGTCATCAGCCCCCTTTTGGCCGCCCCCGAGCTCCTCCGACACCATCTACGAGAGCCCCATCAGGTACGGGGAAACAATTACTGGACACTCCCCCGCTCCCCCAATCTCGAAGTTGGCACGCGCGGGGGAGACTGCGGTCGAAGTGGAGCTCATCAGACCCACCGCCACCTTTGAGCATTGGGGGGAGGGGCAGGCGTTGACCGATGACCGTGGCATGCGTGTTCGCTATTTCTTTCCGCGGCCTGTCTGGGAGGCCTCGCCAAACATCTGTGGCCTCCGCCGGCGCCCGCCGGCCTCGCCGTCCGTCTGTGGGCGGAGGCGGCCTGCCGTCGTGCCTCCGCCGGCCTTCCGCGGGGGCGGAGGTGCCAAAAAACGCCGCCGACCCCTCGCAGGCGAGGCCCCCCGACGAGCACGGGGCAGGGCCCCGCCCCGGCGGCGAACCGCTGTGCGGCCGGCGCCGCTTCCCTGTGGGCGCAGGGCGAGCTCAGAGAGGGCCCGCGGCCCACACGAGGGGAGGTGCCGCGCTCCTCCGGGGATGGACAGACCTCCCTTCGGCAGAACGAGCTCTTTGCCCAGACCTGGCGGGCGCCAGCCTGCGAACATGGCGGCCGCGGCGCCCCCTCGAGAACCGACGACGCACCATGCACGAACCGACGCGTCAGGGCAGGAGGTCTGCACACACACCCGACTCCTGCAGGCTCCTCGCGCGGAGTGCGCTCGGCCCCTGGACGCGAACCCGCTGCCCCGGCGCTGCAAGGGGCTCCTCGGGCGCCCACGGCGCCCGGGCGCGCGCCCCGACGCCCTGCCGAGCGGCCGCGTGGCCGCGTGGAGCCCACCCGGCCGCAGCGGCACGCCCCCGAAGAGCGACCTGGACGCATGCGGCCACCTCGCCGTCGCTCGGACGTCCATTCCCTGTGCTCTTGTTCGGTTTCGGGCGTGGTCTGTTCGCCAGATGATCAGGGATGCTCCTCGACGGTCCTCGCCGACAGAAAAATGCACACGCCCGAGCGATGCCAGGGCCATGGGCTGCAGGGAGCGCTTCGGGGTCGCACCGGAGCCTGCATGGGCCCCACGGGCAGGGGGTCCCCTTCTCGCAACGGCGCGACACCCCCCCCCCCTCCACCGTCCAACGTCGCGTGACCCCCCCGATGCAGCAACGGCCACGTCAAACACCGACTTTGCATGGGCCGATCCGCTTTTTCGCCAGGAGGGTTGTAGAGATGTCCATCAGAAGAAATGTGATGGGTGTTCGGATGCGGAGAGGATGGCGGTGCCTAGAAGTCGAAATGCAGTTCGTCCAGTTCGTGCCCGAACTCACGTTCAAACATGTCCCAGCTAGTGGGGAGCACTCGAGACATTTCGCTGCCGAGAAGGCTCCAGACAAATAAGGGTTACCAAACGGCCCCGAGATCCCCAAGACGACTCTGAGGGGCCCGAGACGTTCCAAGGGGGCTCCAGGATGGCCTGACAAGTCTTAAGACGGCCCCAACACGGCCTCGATAGACCTCAACGGAGCGCTTGTCTGGCCGTGCACCCCGCGAGGCGGTGTGTATCAGTTGTAAGGACGCAGAATGACTTGCTATACTGCTCGACGCCCAATGTCATTCGCAGCCGCGGGGGGCCGCCACTGGGAAATCGAGCGCGGAGAGCGGGAGAGTGCTGCGAGGAGCGAGGAGCTCCGCGCTTCCCTGCGGGCGGCCTGGCTCGTGGGGAGGGTGATGGAGACGAGAAGGCGGAGCTCGATCAGGAGATCGACTACAGAATTGACTCATCCCAAACTTGTGTGTTCGTCGGGTCGACGGGAAGATCCGCCGGCCCCCTTCTGGGGCCACTGTGGTCCGCGGGTCAGGCTTGCTACTCCCTGATGCAGTTCCAGCTTCCAGTCTCCCATGCTGCATTCCTGCTTTCTGCTTCCTGCTGTCGATTGTTGAAGTCCGCGCGAGGGGTGGAGGTTACCACCACCCAGCGGGGTTCTCAAAATTTCTGGAGGGTCCTGGGACACGTTGAAATGCACTAGAATCGCGCCCCCGAAACCGAATCCCGTGTATCTTAAACCATACTCGCGCCCCCGAGGCCATAACCCGTCATAAATTACATAATGTTCGCGTCCCCGAGGCAATACGCTCCGTAAGTTATGGAATCTCTGCGTCCCCGAAGCCGCGATCCCTCGTAAATTATGCGTTCTTCGCGTCCCGGAAATCATAAACTCCGGAAAAGTGCACAATGGTGGCGCTTTCGAGGCAACAGTCCGGAATAAAAGGTCCCCAGGACGGTATCAGAGGCCTCCGAGACGGCCCAAGAGTGCTCCCAGGCGCTCAAGATGGTCCCAAGACGGCCCAAGATGCTCCCAAGAGACCCCCGAAAGCGCTCCAAGAACGCTCCCAAGAGGGGCCAAAGAGGCCAACATCTGCGATTTTCACTGGGTGCTCTTATAGATTTTAGCACGCTCATATCTCCAGTGGCCCTTCCGACGTTGCTTCACGACGGCGCCCAGGCCTCACAACATAGCTCTTGCATGCCCCCTTCGCCGAGAGAGGGGGCAGGCAGCAGGGGGCGACGCCCTCACGGATGGGTGTAGATCTACACACATTCTATGCAACTGTCTAATAGGCTGGACACAAGAATCATAATTTAGGGGTACGTCAATTCCTTTGTCGATCTCCCACTCGAGAAGCGGGGCGGCGGGAGGCTGGAGGTTGGCTTCGGTCGTCCTCGAAGGCGCAAGTCGCGCCAGCCATTGCCTCTGGACGGGTGCCGCCTCCACGGGAAACGACAGCCAGGGTAGGCCTCTGGGCCACGAGAGGGCCCAACAACTCAATGCGAGAAACACGAGGAGGAGACGGAAAGACGAGGAAGAGGAAGGGGCGGGATGAGTCTAAGGAGCGAGAGGCCGGGCGGAGACCAAAATTCTCCGTGGACCTCTCTGTCGAATTTGGTGGGCGCGCAGCCCTGGCGTCGTGGCGCGATGAACGGGTACTCTCATGGCGACCATCAGTCCGGTCCTCTTTCTCCTCCACCCTCCCCTCCCCCCTTCCTCCTCCTCCTCCTCCTGCTCCTCCTCCTGCTCCTCCTCCTGCTCCTCCTCCTCCTCCTCCTC